AGCCCCCCCTGACCCCCCCTTCTCCCCCAGCCTCATCCCCACCGCCTTCCTGGGCACGGCCGCCATCTTCGGCTGCTTCTCGCTCAGCGCTCTCTACGCCCGGCGCCGCAGTTTTCTCTACCTGGGAGGTGAGGGGACCCCAAAAAGGGGACGGGGGCACCCCACAAGGGGGCTGGGATACCCCAAATGGGGGCTGGGATACCCCACAAGGGGGCTGGGATACCCCACAAGGGGCTGGAGGTGCTCAAAAAGGGGCCAAGGTGCCCCCAAAAAGGGGCTGGAGTGGTCCAAAAGGGATTGGAGGTGCCCCAAAAGGGATTTGGGGTGCCCCAAAAGGAGCTGGGGGTGCCCCAAAAGAGATGGGAGGTGCTCTATAGAGGGGTTGGGGTGGCCCAAAAGGGATTAAACATGGCCCAAAAGGGACTCGCTACCCCACAGGGGGGCTGGGATACCCCATAAGGGATTGGAGGTGCCCCAAAAGGGTCAGGGTGTCCTATAAAGGGATTGGAGTTGCCCCGTAAGGGTCAGGGTGCCCCATAAGGGTTGGAGTTGCCCCATAAGGAGTTGGAGGTGTCCGATAAGGGGTTGGAGTTGCCCCATAAGGCTCAGGGTGCCCTATAAAGGGATTGGAGGTGCCCCAAAAGGGTCAAGGTGCCCCATAGGGGTCAGGGTGCCCTATAAAGGGATTGGAGGTGCCCCAAAAGGGTCAGGGTGCCCCAAAAGGGTCGGGGTGCCCCATGGGGGTCGGGGTGCCCCCAGGAGCTGCTCTCACTGCCGCCCCCCGCAGGTTTCCTGCTCTCCGGCCTCACCCTGCTGCTGCTCTCCTCCCTGCTCAACGCGCTGCTGGGCTCCGTGTGGCTCCTCACGGTGGGTGCTGCACCCACTCTGCTCCTTCCGGACCCCGCGGGGGGGTGGGGGGCACCCATCTGACCCCCCCCCTCCCCAAACCCCCCCGAATTCTGCTCCCTGCAGGCCAACCTCTACGTGGGGCTGATGCTGATGTGCGGCTTCGTGCTGTTCGACACCCAGCTGATCATCGAGAAGGCAGAGAGCGGGGATAAGGACTACATCTGGTGGGTGGGGGCTGGGGTGCTATGGGGCGCTGTGGGGTGGCTTAGGGGTGCTGTGGGGTGGGGTTGAGGAGAGGTTGGGGTGCTGTGGGGCGCTGTG